TTTTAATTTATAGGATAGTAATTATGTTGTACATGAGATATTCAGACTTATTCATATTATGTAACTGCCACTTATTACCCTTTGACCAACATTTCCCTGTTCCCCAAGCCCTTCCCAGCTCCTAATAATTATCATTCTTCTCTTTGTGTCTATTTAGTCAACATTTTAGATTCCACATATCAATGAGGTTATTCAGTCTTTTTTCTTTTTATCTTGCCTATTTCATTTGGCATAATATCTTCCAGGTTCATCCATATTGTTGAAAATGGCCAGATATCCTTCTTTTTTAAGCTAAATGTCAAATTTCTTTATTCATTCACTGTTAAGTGACACGTAAGTTGTATCCATGGCTTATTATCTTTTGAATTATAGACATACTAAATGGGCATGAATTCATTCTCATTTAGTGCTCATCACTTACTATACGAGTTAGGTATATATTCACTATATAGTGAAGGTATTGGAGGCTTAGAGAGGGTGAATAGTTTGCCTGATTCCCACAACTACTAAATAACAGAGCAACAATTTGCATTCATCTTATTCCAGACCTCATTTGTGTACTATAATAGTGTACTTCCTATACCATCTGTATGCTATTCTAAGAAGGAGCCACTCCTACTCACCACAGTTCTTTTCTAGTAGAATTTCAGTTTTTCCCTCCACACTTGTTATTACACTTATATGTATTTTAGTGAGTCATTCCACCATCATAATGGGCTCCTTCACATCCCCGTATATAAGCTCTGTCCATTTGCCCCTTAACATCTCTTAAATCTGTCTATTTTTGCTGCTACTATTCCAGTTTAGATTTTTCTCATCAGCAGTCCCCTATCTGGTCTTCTTACCTCTAATTTATCTAATCTATTATACTTTTCATAATTAATCTAATTGGATATTCTAAAAACACATGTAATAATACCATTTCTCTGCAAAAAGTCATGGTCCTCTGCACCCCAATGATAGAGTTGATATTCTTGAGCATGGTATTAGTGTTCTAGAAAATGGTTTTCATGATATAGCCCCAATCCACCTTAACAATCTCATATCCAGCTACTCACACTTTTCATCTAAAATAGATTTCTATGATCAAGCCATATTGAACTTTTATTTTAATTTTATATTTTCTTAGACAAACCATGATATTTTATGCCTCCAAGTTCTGTTTGAAATCCCCCTTTCATTTATCCCCACTTATTGTAATTCTTCAAGTGCCAGCTGAAATGTGACCTGTTTTACAAAATCTTCTCCACCCCATCAGATAGAATTAGCACTGTCCTCCTCATAGCACTTATTTTTGTGATTCTGCTTATATTTTAATAATTGATATATTTATCTTGCTGGGCTAGTGTGCAACCTCTCAAAGCTTCTCCCCACTACTTTCCCACACATAGAAGAGAGGCCTCCCTGTCTGATAAGGATTCACTCCCAATACTCTGCAGTTTCTGAATCTGGTCTGTATGTTTCTCTTTGAAAACAGACGTCTCATTAGGAAAAGGGGATGATACTGAACTCTTATTATTTCAAGGAACAATGACATCTCTCTTCAGAAAGAGTGTGGATTATGGAAACAGACTTCAAGCTTTGACAATTAGTTCTGCCACACTGGTCTTTTAACAATGAGCCTCTTAGTGCCTTAGATTCCTCATCGGAAAAAGGGACTAGTAAGAATTTAATACTTTATCCCTGTCTGGTTTTGCTCAGTGGATAGAACATTGGCCTGTGGACTGAAAGGTCCCGGGTTCGATTCTGGTAAAGGGCACATGCCCTGGTTGTGGGCTCGATCCCCGGTGGAGGGTGTGCAGGAGGCAGCCGATCAGTGATTCTCTCTCATCGTTGATGTTTCTATCTCTCTCCCTCTCCATTCCTCTCTGAAATCAATAAAAATATATTTTTTAAAAGAGTTTATTACTTTATAGACTAGTTTTGAAATTACATAAGATAATTCATGTAAAATATTTACAACAGAGCCTGGCACAGAGAAAGTGCTCAAATAATGCCATCTGTTAGAGATGCCATTATTATTACTGTTATTATTATCATTGCCTTTTTGTCATTACTTTTCAACATTTCAAGAATTTGGAAATGGTTACCCTGGCAGAAGGGCCTACTTCCAAAGTCCCCATCACTCTTATCATTCCATCCCCTATTTCTGTGAGCTAAGAAAAAATCCTTTCTATGTGGAAGTGACGCTATGTAGGTGCATATCTTAATGAGACTGTACTCTCTTATATTGTATTGAGATGGTGATGACTCTCTTATATTGTATTGAGATGGTGATGATACTGTTATGACCTGTAAGGCACAGCTTGCCCCTTTTGTGTCCCCTAAAGGAGAATAGGGGTATAATTTTCTAGGGTCCCTCCACCAGAAGAAGAAAGTATTCAGAAAGAAATAAGTAACTGAGATGTTGGGCCTAAAGCATATGGGAGAAGGATTTCATGTCACTGTTTATATCATTGTTTTGAGAGGGTAAATGTGCTTGCAGTTACTTCTAAGTGCTGGATGTTTAAAGGTGGCCTCTGCTATAAGGCATGTCCTGGAAGCACATGATCTAGTTACACGGCAGTCCTGTGTTTATGTCCCTACTGATATTTATGAGTCTGCTAATTTTTTATTTGGTTGCTCTAGTCTGATAGCAATTATTTTAGGGTTAAGAAAAGTAGGATCATGTATCTACCCTGGACCAGAGTAGGGGAACTATAGATGAACTCCTCTTGGCCCCTATGGTGATGGCAGCAGTGATTGGTGACAGGTTCCAAGGAGAAAACTCTCTGGTTGGAAAAGTCTTTGCAGCAAGACTTAGCCCTTCCTTCCCAGATGGAATCCATTGCTTCACTGCCTACCTGGAGTATAATAGTATAAATACTAACACTTATTGAGTTTATATTATGTACTAGGCACTGAAATAAATTTACCATACCATGTAAGCCTTGCTGCAACATAGAGGTAGGTATGATTATTATTCCTATTTCTTTGTGGAGAAAATTTGAGGTAGAGAGATATTATGAACTTGCCTAAGATCGCACAGTTAGTAAGAAATAGAACTAGGAATCAGTTCTGGGCATCTAGCTCCAGAGCCTTCATTTCTTTCTTTCTTTCTTTTTAAAATTCTCAACTGAGGATATGTTATGTTTTTATTGTTATTATTATTGATTGATTGAGAGAGAGAGAGAGAGAGAGAGAGAGAGAGAGAGAGAGATATCAGTTGTCTCTTGTACATGCCCTGACCAGGAATTGAACTCACAAGTTAGGTATGTGCCCTTACTGGGAATAGATCCCACAACCTTTTAGTATTCTAACCAACTGAGCCACCCAGCCAGAGCCAATGCCTGCATTTCTTTTATATTATTATTATTAATTTCTAAACCTGTATTTCTTTTTTTAATTCTCTGCCATTTTATTTTATTTTTTAAAATTCTTTATTGTTGAAAGTTTTACATATGTCTCGCCCCTCATGGACCTCTCCCTGACCACTCCTGTCTCCCAGCATATGCCCCTACCCCCTATTATCCATGTCCATTGGTCATGCTCATATACATGGATACAAATCCTTTGGTTGATCTCTTACCCCACATCCTTTCCCTCCCATGCCTTCCTTCTGAGGTTTGACAGTCTATTCAATGCCTCTATAACATTTTCTTTATGGAGCATTTCGAGCATAAACAAAAGATGAAAAAAAGTATAACTTACTCCCTATGTACCTATTCCCCAGCTTTAACTTTTTTAAAAATATATTTCATTGATTTATCACAGAGAGGAAGAGAGAGGAATAGAGAGTTAGAAACATCAATGAGAGAGAATCATCGATCAGCTGCCTCCTGCACAACCCCCACTGGGGATGTGCCCACAACCAAGGCACATGCCTCTGACCGGAATTGAACCCGGGACCTTTCAGTCTGCAGGCTGACGCTCCATCCACTGAGCCAAACCTGTTTCGGCCCCCAGCTTTAACTTTTACCACCACACACCCAGTTGTGTTTCATCTATACCATACTCAGTGCCCCATCATGATATCATGACATCACGGCATTTTGTTCATAAATGTTTCAGTATGTCTCTCTAAAAGATTAACATTATTTTTAATCAAAATCACAATGCATTATCATATCTAAAAGAAAAGAAAAAACAAAACAATAATTTCTTTAGATTACTACCTATGTAATTAATGTTCACATTCTCATTTTCTCATATTTAATATTTTTAAAAATCAGGATCCAAATAAGATGCATGTATTACAATTGTTTGACATGTCTCGTTTAACTGACCAGAAGCTCTGTTCTTAACTACTATACTCTGATACAGGTCCTCTGTAACTAAGGAAGTTGATTTTAGAGGACTACATTAATTTCTTAAAATTAGTTGTCAAAGTTTTGCATGTCTTCATGTAAGTTAATTTTTCTAGAGGAAGTATCCCTGGTTCTCATTACAGTCTCAAATCTGTAACTAAATAAGACTCGGAGCAACTAAAAAGCATGTACAAAATCCTATATTTTTCAACTGCCACAGGAAATTATATAGATCACAAAAGCTAGATCATAAAATGGCTAGTTGGGTTTTATTTTCTATGAAGATAGAGAAAGAAGTTAAGTTCTGTTAAGTTTATTAATTTGAAATCTGAGAGGTCTTTACAAATTAGGTTTGAGGTCAATAGAATTAGTTAAGGAATAAATGCTTTCTCTTTTAAAAATTTAATAGAATATATAATTGACAACTCTTAAATTCCTTTTAAATAAAGCATCTTGTTAGATTGTGGTTTCATTGTGAATTGTAGTGGTGAAAAATTATACTCAGAACTTGAATTTGATTCCCTATCTGATGTGACTTGTGACTCCATAGGAATTGGGACAGGCAGAGATTGATTTTTTGGATATTATTGGTTTAATCCATAATAATAGCTCCTTTGCAAATGTGTACAATTTTTCAAACCATGTATGCATATATTCAATGAAAATGTGATAAAGATTATCATTAATCTTACACTTTGCACCAACTCTTTTTAGATAAAATTCAACATCAAACACCCAATGGTACTATCACCAGCAGTATAGAAATCCCCAAACCACCACAATACCCCAACCTGCCTATTCAGAAGATTGGGGAACCTGATACTGGGAGAAAGTCCCCAAGCAGACTTGCTTCAGATGGCAAATTGGAGTCCTGCCCCGAGGTGGACATGGGGAAATTGGTGTCTAAGCTGCACGATGAAGGAAGGACCAAAGCCACCAATGGACCTGTGTCAGGCTCTGGGCCCACCAAGGCCCCCTCTTTACACATAAAGAGACCAGCTCCTCGGCCCCTAGTTCATCACAAGGAGGGTAAGTGCTTGGGAATCCCATGGGAACCAAAATTGAACCCAACTACTTTTCATTTTCAGATCTTTCTGAAATTAGAGATATATAAATAGAAATCTGTTCCATTTTACTGCCATTAATATTGGTTTGGTAGACAATAACATAAAAATCATTCACAGTAATTGCTAGAATATAAGCTTCATGAGGGCAGGGAATTTTAACTTATTTTATTTACTTCTATATCCCATGTGCTTAGAACAATGCCTAATTGTCCCATAGAAGGCAGTCATTATTTGTGGAGTAATTTAATAATAATTATATTTATTATTATTATTATTATTGCTACTGTTGCCATTTATTAGGTATCTGCTATGTGCCTGGCATTGCAGTAGGCACTGACATGCTCTTTGTGATCCTCACAACCTTACTGTGAAGAATGTATTATTATTATTATTATTGGTTTTTTTTCTACTAGATACCTGAGGTTCCTAGTGGTAAGTGACTTGCCAAAGGCTACTAACTGGCAGAGCTGTGTTCTAAATCTTACCAAGTCTCCTAGGCACCAAATCCTTTGTTTTTTTCAATAAGGCACAAGTACCACTTTACCTTTTTATACAAAGCTTTGAATCTGTGAACTATTATTTTCTTTCTAGAGTCCTGATGCACAAAAGTTGTGCAAGAGTAGGCCTTCCTTCCCCCAACTGCTGGCACCGGCTTCCTTCTAACACCTGGAATCCACGCTTCCCTGTGGCCACCAGCAGGCACCTGGGACCCGGATTTCCCTTGCAGTCCTGGCTTCATCCAGAAGGATGTCTGAAAGGACATCTAGTCTAATTGGAATATTATACATTTATTATTATAGATTCTTACTCTCCAGTTTTGTAAAAATAAGGACAAAGGGACACAACTTCTGCAAAACACCCAGCAATTTCACTTCTGGGAATTTATCTGAAGAAACCCAAAATACTAATTCAAAAGAATATATGCACCCTTATGTTCATTACAGCATTATTTACAGTAGCTAAGACATGGAAACAGCCCAAGTGTCCATCAGTAAATGAGCAGGTAGAAAAAGCTGTGCTACATTTACACAATGGAATACTACACAGCTGCAAAAAAAGAAAGAACTCTTACCATTTGCAACAGCATGGATGGACCTGGAGAGTATCATGCTAAGCTAAATAAGCCAGTCAGAAAAAGACAAGTGCCATATGATTTTACTCCTATGTGGAATTTGATGAACAAACTGAACTAACAAGCAAAATAGATAAAGAACAGGCAGAGAGCTCTGGTAGAGGGCGAAGGGAGTTAGGGAGTGCAGGGATTGAGTAAAATAGAAAAGAGAAAGAATTCATGGACATAGACAATAGTGTGATGAGCGTGGGGGGATAGAGGTGGAAGAGAGTATAGGGGGATAAATGGTAATTGAAAAGAATAAAATAAATAAATAAAAATTACAAATTCACAATGTGGCTGGCTTCTGCATATTTAATTGGCTACATCATATGAAGACTCAAGTAGGGAGATTGGGACTAATCCAGCGGGAATATGTGGAGAATATAAGTCTATAAAAACAGTATGGTATAATGGAAAGAATATGGACTTTGATAGCACCCAGGCTTAGATCCAAACCCTGATTCTTTTACTTCGATAACCTTCTAAAAATGTGCCTTATGTTTTATACCCTGGCCTGTTCCAAAAACAATTTAAGGCATTTCACAATATAGAAAAATATAAGTACTTAAAATAGTAAGAATAATTTATTTAATAAACAAATGTTTATTGATTAATTACTGTGTGCCTGGCCCCATTCTAGGTATTGAGGATGTTAAAGTGAATAAGACATATAAAGTCCCTGCCTGCTTGAGGCTTTTATCAGGGCTTAGCTAACTATGGCCTGAAATGGTTATAAAAACTCAACAGAAAAATTGTATGTCATAACACATGAGAATTATATGAAATTCAAATTTCCATGTCCAAGGACATATGCTCCTTCATTTACATATTATCTACAGCTGTTTTTGCACTACAGTAGCAGTATTGAGTAGTGGCAACAGAGACTTTGTGGCCTGCAAAGCCAAAAATTCTAGAGTATAGGTAAGAAAGTTAAGGCCAAGAGGGTGAAAAGGTATAATTGTAGGAAGATGGAAAGACTGGAGTTAGTACACAAAATGTTTGTCATGAAACTTTATACACTTGCTTTAGCATTTGGCTCCAAACTTTCTCGAGAAAACAAAAAGGGGGGGGGGGGGAACCTCGATGGTTATATAATTCCAAGTTCTTAAAGTGACAACAACAAGCCAGTTATTCAAGTAAAGCACAACTCTTCTGCTTTTGAGAACAGAAAATGTTTCTAAGAAGCATTTTCTCCCATGGATGATTGCATATAACAACCTCAGCATGGGTTGATGAAATTGTCTCAGGGCACAATTCAGTAAAAGCTTGCTTTGGGTGGTGGTGGTGGGGGGGAATACAGTCAGTAACTAAGTAATTGACTGCATTCTCTGGCTCAACACACTGAAGCATCTGTATTATTACAGTTAAGTTATTTAACCTCTTTGCACCTAAGTTTCCATGACTATAAATGAGAAAAAATAGCTCACTCCACAAAATTATTACTAGGGTTAAAAATGAATAACAAGTAAATATTCAAAATATGTTACTATTTCCCTCCCTTTGCCCTTTCCCCTTTGTAAGACTTGCCTCTTCTAGGAAGTAGCCAAGTAAGGCCAAACTTCTATGTAGACATCTGCTTCAATTTATAAGTCATATATTGACCTTCACATCAGTCTGGTAGGAGTTGTGTAACTTAGCTTATGTTCATCACAGTAAAGTTTGTCTTGCCTGTCGCCAACCCTTAAGGTCAGCCAGATCCTATCATATCAGCACACACAGTAACTTAGCCCTCCCTATCAGTTCCGCTTTCACCATCTGCTGCTGCAAAGTTAAATCCCAGCTGCATTCTCCTCTTCCCCTTTCTTCACAGTCCTGTCCCACACTGCTGGTGGTCACTGCTCTGATCTAATGATTTCAGTTAATGAAAGTATTGACCTGACTATGCAGTGTTAGCCAGACTATTTAAATTTCTGCCACAGCATTGCTTGGCTTTGCTTGCTGCCTAAGGCTACTGTGATGCAGCTTTTTTCAAAGCTTCATGCCTCCAGCTTTGGTTACAGAAAACATAACTGAGGCAGTAGTTCTAGCCTTGATAGAAAATTAATCAAACCTCTGGTGTTGCCTCTTTGGACCTTGCTCACTCCCACCTCCTACTTTCTCCCTTCCTCCCATTTTTGCTCCCACCCCAGGGATAGATTCCAGGCATAAGTACAGATATCAATTAAGCCAAAGCTGCAAAAAGTTCTGTGACTCTGAGCTATAAGACAACAGCTTGAATGGCAGTTTCTGAGGGAGGGAGCTGTCATCTCAGCAGGCCTACCTTAGAATTGTCACTCTATTTCACCTGTGTTGTTCAAAGCTTTGTCTATCATTCTGAAAGTCAGTGCACAGGCCTCATTGCTTTAGTGATCCAACTATGTCACTGCCCTGTCCCTTACCTTGCATTGTTCCAATATTTGAGTCAACTTGATAATCTCCAAATTTTTTCTTAGTGATTAAAAATAGCAAAAACAAGGGGCATGCTAAATCACTTTGTTCCATGCAAGTCAACTTTACAATAAGATCAATATTGTTTGCTGATGTAATTTTGCCAAGGGTCCTTTTCTATTCCTGACATGGAACTGGATACTTTCTCTATGTCTGTTATATCTAATCATGTGATAGTCCTATAATGTAGGCTTTGTCATCCCCATTTCATAGATGGAGAAACAGAGGCTCAGAGAATTGAAATAAGTTGTCCAGCCACCCAATTTGTAAGATGTAGAGATAAGACTTGAACCCAGACTTCTTGAGTACTACATTCTATTTTTCTTTATTGATTAAGGTATTGCATATGTTTCCCCCACCACCACCCCACTCATGCCCTCACCCCCCTAGTGTCATGTCCATTGGAGTACCACATTCTTATTTCTTAAGTGGCTATAGCTATCTTCCCTTTTCTGTTTAATAAGAACCATTCATTTGGGGGGAGAAAAATTATACAAGCCATTTCCTCCCTTCCTTTGATGTTACTACCTGTTTCCAGACCTGGCTTTGGAAAGGGTATTTATGTAGCTTCTACATTGGGACTTTGGGCTTTCCTTTGGAGAATGGAAGGGCAAGACATATTCTTGCATGTATTTGTTTATTTATTCAGGCATAGTGTTATGCAATAGGACAGATGAAGATGTAAGTCTATGGTCCCTGCCTCTCAGGGTTCATGGTGAGGCTGGCATGTAAGCAGTCAGTTGTAGCCCAGTGTGATCCATGTTCCTATTGGGGGTGAGAAAAAATTCCAGTAGGAGCATGGAGTAAGCCCTTCACTCTATGTGAGGTTCTGAGATAAAAGTAGGGAATATATTCACACTGGGACCCTATGCCATGTGAGTTAGGGGTCCTACTTAGCTCTTTCCCTCTGTCTTATGGGAGGGAAAAGACTGCATTGTGATGGCATGCTCTTGGGCTTGGAGAAATAGTGCTTGTTAGGCCTTACTCAGCCATAGGGCCATTGATTAGTAACTGGGGTGACTAATCTTATGAGTGGCATTTGCATCTGCTCTAAAAGTATTAGTAATAGACTTGCTCTCGCAATAATGGGTTGTGTTGGCCATTATCCAAATTTTCTTGTTTGGACTCATTATGCTTTAATTATCTACTGTGTTTGTTTTTTATTCTATGCCTTCCTTGAAGCCTAACTTCAGATTGATCTAAAAGGATAATAAGTGGCTAAAAGATATGAGACTTATAGCTGAGTATGGGTAGTGTCATAGAAAGAAAGATATAATTCTAGAAGACTGGGGGAATCTATATGAAGGAACAATCTCCCTTTACTCTGTGTCTTCAGGTTGGGTATAGATGGGTATAAGAAAAGGTAGAAGAAAGTTAGTTAAGGTTGAAGATTGATAGCCTAAGAAATCTATGAATGCTAAGATTTTTTTGGTTATAGCCATTTGACAGAGAATGGGAAGGGAGAGAACAAATTGGGTTGGAGAGGGAGGTCAGATTGTAGTAAAAGTCAGGTTGTGGACTAAGGTTGAAAATAAATTATTATGAACTACAGTTTGGTAGAAAGACCATAGGCTCAAAAGCTTAGTGGAGTCTTGGACACAACTTCGGCTGCAGAGTCTCCCAGATTTGATTTTGAATCCTCCTTCGTGCTAGGTGTGGGACACTGACCATGCCATAATCTCTGTGATCTGTGAACTTTATTTTCCTCATCTGTAAAATTAGGATAACTGTGTCCATAGGATTTCTGTAAAAGTGAAACATCTATGTGCTTGGCACATAATATGTATTCAGTAAAATGGCAGCAGTTGCTTGGCTTTTATAAGAATCTAATTAGTAACTAAATAACCTTAGTTAGATAAACTTCACTTCTTTGAGCCAGTTTTCTCAACTGTAAGTGAGAGAATGCCTATATTGCAGACATGGTTTTTGTGAGGTTTCATTAAATTTTATATACAAGGCATCTGGTATATATAGAAGTTCAAAAAATGATAGTGGGTAAGTGGGTAACATCTTCCCAGGAAATGTCAGGCATGGAAAATGATAGAAGTATAACCTTCCATATTTTGGATCCTATGAAAATAAGCCTAGGCCTCAAATATGGATGCTATAAAAGAGCTCAGATATACTCTTTCCATCTTCAACCTGTCTCTGGCAATGCCAAAAACACCCAGAAAGAGGAGGACCATTGTTGAGGGGAAGAGGCAAGGAAGGATTCTTAGCTCTCTCTCAAGGTCCAGCTCAAATCCTATTCCTTCTATGGAGCCTTCTGACAATGTTGCCCCAGGGAATTCTCCTTTTACTTACTTATTTTGGGCACCCGAGCTTGGCCCTCTAATGTGGTTGCAGAGTTACATTTTTCACATATTTTCAATGAGTGTGACTTCATTCTCCAACTCAGTTTTAAGCCTCTGGAGGTGAAGTCTGTTAGATCATATGTGTGCATTTCTTATGAGAGCATAAGGCTGGGCACAAAAGCTCTCAAACAATATCTAACATATTGAACACATTTTTATTTAGGTTTCAAAATAGCCCTGAAATATGAGTATATCATTGTTTGTATGTAGCACAGATAGCACAAGTGGGGACTTAAAGAGGGAAAGCTTTTTTCATCAACCCTTTAATGGGCATAACTATATTTTTCTTTACTCAATACTTTTGAAATATCAGTTGCATGGTAAGCAATTTACTTGGGCCTTTTGTGAATACAGAGAAGAATCCTATCTGGAAGAGAGCAGGTGTTCAGTAAAAAGATAACTAAAGTTATACCAGTTATATTTTATTATCATTACCACTGTTATTATTACTAACTAGGGGCCCAGTGCGTGAATTTATGCACCTTGTGGGGTGCAAGGCTGAGGTGGGCACAGGGCCGGGTCTTGGCCCCTCCTCTGTGCCCCTACCCAGACCCTCCCATTGTAGCCCCGCTCCCATCCTGCTGCTGCTGCTCCTACACCAGCCCTGCTCACACTCACTAACAGATGGAGCAATTGGGGCCAGCGCTGGTAGTGGGTGCAAGTGGTACTGGCGCCATCAGTGGGTGCCAGCAGCAGCTGCTGTCCCAATTACCCCTCAGGGGCTAGAGGAGATGGAGAAGCCCTTAGGGGCAATCAGGGCTGGCAGCCACCACTCACCTGCTCCACCATCTTGCCATGGCTGATGCCTGCCATGTTCCATGCGTGCCCCTTTTTGGTTAGCACAAGTCATAGCACCAGTTGTTCAGTTGTTTGGTTGTTCCACCATTTGGTCTATTAACATATTACAGTTTTATATTATATATATAGATAATAATAAAACAGCAGACACTGGGAAGAACAGTGGATGCAGATACAGGAGATAGGGGTTTCAATCCTCACTCTACCACTTACCTATGTGATTATGGGTGAGTCAGTTCACCTTTCGAAACCTCAGTTTCCTTCTTTTTTTAAAAAAATATGTTTTTATTGATTTCAGAGAGGAAGTGGAAAGAGAGGGAGAAACAACAATGATGAGAGAGAATCATCAATTAGCTGTCTCCTGCATGCCCCACACTGGAGATGGACCACACAACCGAGCATGTGCTCTGACCAAGAATCAAACTGAGACCTGGTCATAGGTCGATGCTCTACCACTGAGCCACATCAACTAGGTTCAGTTTCCTTCTTTATAAAATGGAGACAATAAGTAAGATCCGTCTGTTCTTTTCTTCCAAGCTTATTGTGAATACCAAATAGTTTTCTGGGAGAGTGGAGAGTGGTATATACTAAGTTAGAAAAATTAGATTACTATTATTATTTGGGTCATTTTGCTTCAGTGTACCTAACTTGATGCTAAGAGGAATAGCATGTCCAGTAAGACACAGTCTAGCTTCCTTCTTTGTAAAATGGAGACAATAAATAAGACCTGTCTGTTCTAAGAATCTGAGACCTCCTGGTCGATGCTATCTTCAAATTTTCGGATTCTTTTTTCTTTTTGCTCTTCCAGTTGAGTGTTTTTTGCTTCTTTGTATTTCAAATCTTTGACTTGATTATTGTGTTTCTTTAGTCTTCTGTTGGGTCAGTGTATGTTTAATTTCTAGTTGGTCCTTTTTCATATCCTCAAGGGTCTGGCTAAATTTATCAGCCTTTTCTAGGAAATTCTTGTAAAACCTTACAATTGTGGTTTTGAACTCTATATCCAATCTTTTATTTTCCTCCATTTCTTTTATTGTGATCTGTTACTTTGTCTCTGCATTTTCACTGCTTCCCTGAGTTGGAAGGGTAGCTTTGTGTGCTAGGTGTCCTATATGGCCCAGTGGGTCACCTGAAGTGGACACTCTTGGTGCTCCCCTTTGTGGACTGTGTGTACAGCCTTGTTGTAGTTAAGTCTTGATCGTTGTTGGTATCACTGGGAGGAATTGACCTCCAGGCCAATAGGCTATGTGTATTCACTCTGTCTTTGCTGGGAGACCTCAGTCCTTTGCAGCTCCTCTGATTCTCTGTGTGCTTTCCTCTTTCCTTCTGGTTGTAGAATTTCTACTTAGTCAGCTTTTCTGTGGTTCTGGATGATGTCCGTTCTGTCTTTCAGTTGTAGTTTTGAAATTGTTGTGCGAGGCAGCAGTTTAGGTTTTTATGCCACCATCCTGGTTTCTTCCTCAATTTTCACTGGGAAGATCTTTAAGGAGGAGAAAAATGGTGTAAAAATGCTTAGGGTAAATTTTATAATAGTATTAAAATATTAAAGTTAATATTTTTACATTTACTTTAAAATGTTTATAGAAGAAAACTTAATGAATATCATAGTTGCATAGTTGTGCATGTATCTGTTTCCATAGTGTGTTCATTAGGCCATGACTATTTTTGTGGACATTTTTCCTTATATTACATGCATATATTTTTTTATCTGGCCCAAGTCTTTGTCAGTTCATACATAATATGTTTTGGTTAAATGCTTCTAAGTATTGACTCATTTGTTTGGGTCTGACTTTTTGCTGTTAAGAAACATGTATTCTTCAAATATAAATATATATATATATATATATATATATATATACATATATATATATATTTAAATTTAAATTCTTCATTGTTGAAAGTATTACATATGTCTTCTCCCCCCACTCCTTTGACTTCTCCTGGCCTCTTCCCCTGCCCAGCCCATGTCCCAGCCCCCTCCTTTTGTCTGTGTCCTTTGGTTATGCTTATATTCATGCATACAAATCCTTTGATTGATCTCTTACCCACCCCTCTTATCCTTCCCTACCTTTCCCCTGGGGCTCGAAAGTCTGTTTGATGATTCTGTGTCTTTGGATTTATTTTAGTTAATCAGTTTATGGTCATTATATTCCACAAATGAGTGAGATCATGTGATATTTATCTTTCTCTGACTGGCTTATTTATCTTAACCATAATGCTCTTCAGTTCCATCCATGTTGTTGCAAATGGTAAGAATTCCTTCTTTTTTTTTTTTTTACTGCATCATAGCATTCCATTTTTTAGATGTACCACAGTTTTTTTAATCTACCCATCTGCTGATGGTAACTTAGGCTTTTTCCAAATCTTAGCTATTGTAAATTATTTTGCTATGAACATAGGGGTGCATATATTCTTTCTGGTTGATGTTTCTACATTCCTAGAAGTGGGATTACTGGGTCAAATGAGAGTTTCATTTTTAATTTTTTGAGGAAACTTTGTACTGTTTTCCACAGTGGCTGCATCAATCTGCATTCCCACAAGCAGTGCATAAGGATTGTTGTTGTTTTAATTTCTTTTGGGGGGTTTAAATTCCTAGGGACCTTATCCCCAAAGTGGATCAATTAGGTCACTGAGTATGAAATGTCTCATATGTTTGATTTTGCATTTCATCCACACTGTTGCAAGATAGAATAAGCAAGGTGTACAGTACCACCAACAATTTGTAAGTGCATCCATTTCACCATACTACTTACAGAAACATCCTATAAAATTATGTATGTGTATTTTCTATTGACTAACTTGGAAACTGGAGACAGAGGCAGGAAGGCAACTTAGGAGGCTGCTACAATAGTCAAGACCTAAGTGAAAAAAGCTTGAGTTTTGATGATGATGAATTTAATAAATTGAAATTCATTATCAAACATTGACTAAGCACCTACTTTGTGCCTGGCACTGTACTAAACATATTAGTACATAATTAAAATATCTCAATATCTTTGTAAATACTATATTATTGGTCTTAATTAATAAGACCAGCAAATTGATGTGAATATTCTAGGTCTCAAAAATACAAACTTCAGATTTGATTTTCAAACATAGATTTTCTGAATGTATACCTGCTGGAAGAATTATAAAGAAACAAAAATCCAGAGTTGTTAGTGACCAAAGAGAAATGGGTGCCAAAGGAGAAGGCCTAGATAGCTTTGATATTGTGTAGTTTTACATTTGGATAACCATCAAGGTTTTTTATATTGTTTTCCCTTCCAGGAGACTCTGACAGTTTCAGCAAAGTGCTGCCTCCAGGAGAAAAGCCAACCATCATTCGTCCCCCAGTGAGACCTCCAGATCCTTTCTTCTGGGCAGCTACTCCCCAGAAAACAAAGCCAGATATTGTAGCTGGCAATGCAGGGGAAATCCCATCATCTGTGTAAGTAGGATTATTCCTCATCTTTGACCTAAGGCCAATCTTAGGCCACCAGCAAGACTTTCAGGATTACTATTATGGTTTTGAAGGGTGTACAGTGCACAATCCTGGGCATTATTTACTTCATAGTCTAAGGCCGTGGTTGGCAAACTGCGGCTCTCGAGCCACATGCGAGTCTTTGGCCCCTTGAGTGTGGCTCTTTCACAAAATACCACGGCCTGGGCAAGTCTATTTTGAAGAAGTGACGTTAGAAGTTTAAGTTTTAAAAAATTGGCTTTCTAAAGAAATTTCAATCATTGTACTGTTGATATTTGGCTCTGTTGACTAATGAGTTTGCCTACTAATGGTCTAGGCAGTGTTTCCCAAACTTTTGACATATATGTACCCCTTCTATAATTTTTGTAATGCTGAGTACCCCTCATACTCATGAGAACATAGAATTAGGCGCAGCTAAGCACGGTGCAGTGCATATCCCCACCAAACTCCGGTGCAACGCGTACCCCCACCAAACTCTTCCCGTACCCCTGGGGGTATGCGTACCACACTTTGGGAAACACTGTTCAGAGTGTTCTACTCTACACTGAAGGCTGAGAGATTTCCCCAAAGCTGTCGAGCTTGGGCCTTAGTGCGTAATAGGAGACCATTGTTTCTAGCTATATTGATGTCAGATGGGTGGTAAGATTACCTTCTGTTTTCATGCTCCCTTGGCTCTGGAAGTTATCTTTTTTTTGGTTTGTTTGTTTTTGTTATTGCTACTGGTTTTAAAAGTAATTTAATAAACAGATTCATTCGTTGTACTTGTGCCTTGAGGCTTTCTATTATTACTAGAGGCCTGGTACATGAAATAATTAACAGGAGGGGGGTCCCTCAGGCCGGCCTGCACCCTCTTGCAATCCAGGACCCCTCAGGGGATGTCCAACTGCTGTTGTGGGATCAGGCGTAAACTGGCAGACAGACATCCTTCTTGCAATCCAGGACCACTGGCTCCGAACCAATCACCAGCCTGCCTACCTGATCGCCCTAACCTCTCTGACTCCCTGCCTGATACCCCTAACTTCTCTCCCCTGCCTGCCTGATCACCCCTAACTGCCCTCCTCTGCCAGCCTAATTACCCCTAATTGCCCTCCCCTGCTGGCCTAATCGCCCCTAACTGCTCTCCCCTGCTGGCCTGATCACCTCTAATTGCCTCTGCCTCAGCCCTTGCTACCGTGGTATTGTCCAGAAGAACAAGTGCAAGATGTCCAGTCTAATTAGCATATTACTCATTTATTAGTATAGATTATATATTTTTCCTGAAATATTTTATTTTATTTTTCTTTATTGAATAAGGTATTACATATGTGTCTTTATCCTCCCATTGTCCTCCCCTCCCCCAACTCAAGGCCTCACCCCTCCCCTGGTATCTCTGTCCATTGGTTAGGCTTATATGCATGCATACAAGTCTTTTGGTTGAATTCTCCCCTTTACCCCCACCCTCTCCTACCTTCCCTCTGAGGTTTGACAGTCTGATCAATGCTTCTCTGTCTCTGAATCTGTTTTTGTTCATCAGTTTATGTTGTTCATTATAATCTACAAATGAGTGAGATCATGTGATATTTATCTTACTTTGACTGACTTATTTCACTTACCATAATGTTCTCCAGTTCCATCCATGCTGTTGCAAATGGTAAGAATTCCTTCTTTTTTACTGGAGCATAGTATTCCATTGTGTAGATGTACCAATTTTTTATTTTTTTATTTTTATTATTTTTAAAAAATATATTTTATTGATTTTTTACAGAGAGGAAGAGAGAGGGATAGGGAGTTAGAAACATCGATGAGAGAGAATCATCAATCACCTGCCTCTTGCACACCCCCTACTGGGGATGTGCCTGCAACCAAGGTACATGCCCTTGACCGGAATTGAACCTGGGACCTTTCAGTCCCCAGGCCAATGCTCTATCCTCTGAGCCAAACCGATTTCGGCTATACCACAGTTTTTTAATCCACTCATCTGCTGATGAGCACTTAGGCTGTTTCCAAATCTCAGCTATGGTAAATTGTGCTGCTATGAACATAGGGGTGCATATATCCTTTCTGATTGGTGTTTCTAGTTTCTAGGGATATATTCATAGAAGTGGAATCACTGAGTCAAATGAGAGTTCCATTTTTAATTTTTAATACTGTTCTCCAAGTGGCTGCACAAGTTTGCATTCCCATCAGCAGTGCACGAAGATCCCTTTTTCTCCACCTCTTCACCAGCACTTGTCATTTGTTGATTTGTTGATGATAGCCATTCTGACAGGTGTGAGATGGTACTGCATTGTCATTTTGATTTGAATCTCTCAGATGATTAGAGATTCTGAGCATGTTTTTATGTGTCACCTGGCCTTCCTTACACAATGCCAAACATTATGCTTTGCAACCTACGACTTGTTTCACTTATTTTTTCCAAGAATAGCCTGAATGGGCAATCTACTTAGAACATTCTCAACCAACAGGTAGCAAAAGGTATCAACCATAGCCTTGAGAGTGCCTACTGGTATTATCTCTGAACCATTTCACATTCTGGTACTTAGGTTTTTCATCAGACCCAGGTTCTTTATAAGGTAAAGCAGACCCTGGCATTGATGGCCCATCTGGTTCATATTTTCTTGTTCTTCCATTGGCCATTAGTTCTCATACAAATTCAAAAGCAATTCATGAAGTTGGTCCGAAGGTTGTGGGTTATTGTTAAGCTGATTAACAAAAGCAATTCATGGGACTTGGTTGGCTTCTGTTTACAGGGTGGCTTCCAGGACCAGGTTCTTTGAAACAGCATCTCGGAAAACAGGAAGGTAAGAAACAGGTGACTGAAGAAAAACAAAATAACTTTTTAATGATTGTATCATAAGTATCTCTTTGCTCTTTATATTCTCTTTTTCTGTTTCTCTTTATTTTTGTCTCTGTCTCTCTATTTGTCCCTTTCTTTCCCACAGCTCTGTCTCCATCTGTCACCCTGTATTTTAATCTTTTCCCCCTCTAACTTTTGTCACTCTATTTGTCTCTCATGTACTGTTTCTTTACTTTTTTTTAAATTTTATTTTCATTGTTTAAAGTATCACAAATATTAGTACATATATCTCCATTTTTTCCCCCACTGACCTTCTCCCAGCATCCCCTAACCCGTGGGACATGCCCTCATCCCAACTTCCCCCACCCCAGTGTCTTCTGTCTATTAGTTGTGCTTATATGCATGCATACAAGTCCTTTGGTTGATCTCTTTCCACACCTCCCCAACACTCCCTAGGCTCCCCGTTGTAATTTGACAGTCTGTTCGATGCTTCACTGCCTCTGTATCTATCTTTTCATTCATCAAGTTATAATGTTCTTTATTATTCATAAATGAGTGAGGTCATGTGGTATTTTTCTTTCATTGCCTGGCTTATTTCACTTAGCATAATGCTCTCCAGTTCCATCCATGCTGCTGCAAATAGTAAGAATTCCTTCTTTTTTATAGCAACGTAGTATCCCATTCTGTAGATGTACCTTAGTTTTCTAATCCATTCATCTGCTTATAAGCATTCAGAATGTTTCCAAATCTTAGCTATGGTAAATTTTGCTGATATAAACATAGAGGTAAATATATCTTTTCTGATTGGTGTTTCTAGTTCCTTGGGATATATTAGAGGTGTGATGACTGGAGCAAATGGGAGTTCCATTTTTGAGGAAACTCCATACTGTTCTCCTCAGTGGCTTCACCAGTCTGCATTCCCACAAGCAGTGCACAAAGGTCCCTTTTTCTCAGTATCCTTGCCAGCACATGCCATTTGTTGTTTTGTTGATGATTGCCATTCTGACAGGTGTGAGATGGTACCGCATTGTTCTGATTTGCATCTCTCAGATGATTAGAGACTTTGAGCATGTTTTTATATGTCTCTTAGCCTTCCTTCTGTCTTCTTTCAAAAAGTATCTATTTAGGTCTCTTGCCTATTTTTTTATTGGATTGTTTATCTTCCTTTTGTTAAGTTGTATGAGTTCCTGTAAATGTTGGAGATTAAACCCTTACAGTGATAACATTGGCAAATATGTTCTCCTATGCAGTGGGCTTTCTTGTTGTTTTGTTGATGGTTTCTTTTGCTGTGAAAAAGCTTTTTATTTTGATAGAGTCCCATTTGTTTATTTTCTCTTTAGTTTCCATTGCCCTAGAAATGGTATCATTGAAGAAATTGCTTTGGCATATGTCTGAAACATTGCTGCCTGTGGATTCCTCTATTATTTTTATGCTTTCCTGTCTTATGTATAAGTCCTTTATCCATTTTAAGTTTATTTTTGTACATGGTGCAAGTTGGTGGTCTAGTTTCATTTTTTTGCATGTATCTGTCCAATTTTCCCAACACCATTTATTGAAGGGACTGTCTTGACTCCATTGTATGTTCATGTCTCCTTTGTCAAATATAATACTAATTGAGCAGAGTGGTTTGGGTCAATTTCTGTGTTCTCTATTCTATTCTATTGTTTTATATGTCTGTTCTTGTGCAAGTACCAGGATGTTTTGAGAATAGTGGCTTTGTAATACAGCTTGAAATCTGGTATTAAGATCCCACCTACTTTGTTCTTCTTTCTCAGGATTGCTGCTGCTATTCAGGATCTTATTTTGATTCCAGATGAATTTTTGGAGAGTTCTTTCTAGGTCTGTGAAATATGCTATTGGTATTTTAATGGGGAGTGCATTGAATCTATAGATTGCTTTGGGTAGTATGGACATTTTAATGATGTTGACTCTACTAATCCATGAACATGGTATGTTCTTTCATTTGTTTATGTCTTCCTCTATCTCTTTTTTCAGTATACTGTAGTTTTCCACCTATAGGTCTTTTACCTCCTTAGTTAAATTTATTCCTAGATAACTTAGTTCTTTTGGTGCAATGGTAAATGGGATTGCTTTCTTAGTCAGTCGTTCTGTAAGTTCACTATTGGTGTACATAAATGCCATTGATTTCTTGGCATTAATTTTGAATCATGTTTCATTCCCTAATTAATTTATTAAGTCTAATAATTTTTTATGGAATCTTTAGGGCTTTTTATGTACAATATCATGTCATCTGTGAATAAGGAGAGCTTTATCTCTTCTTTTCCAATTTGGATGCCTTTTATTTCTTCTTCTTGTGTAATCACAATAGCTAATACTTCCAGTACTATGTCAAACAGGAATGGAGAGAGTTTTATTATGTTGAGATATGATCCTGTCTTGTTCCTGTTCTTAGGGGAAATGGTTTTAGTTTTTGCCCATTGAGTATGATGTTGGCTGTGGGTTTATCATATATATCTTTTATTATGTTGATGTATAATCCTTCTATTCCCACCTTGCTGAGGGTTTTTATCAAGAAAGGGTGTCGGATTTTGTAAAATGCTTTTTCTGCATCAATTGATATGACTATGTGATTTTTATTTCTCAATTTATTTATGTGATATATCACGTTTATTGATTTACGAATATTATACCATCCTTGAATATCAAGGATGAATCCTACTTGGTCGTGGTGTATGATCTTTCTGATGTACCGCTGGATCTGATTTGCTAGAATTTTGTTGAGGATTTTGGCAACTATATTTATGAGGGATATTAGCCTGTAATTCTTTTTCATTGTGTTGTCTTTATTTAGTTTTGGTATTAGGGTGATGCTGGTATCATAGAATGAGCTTGGAAGTGTTCCTTCCTCTTGAGTTTTTTTTTTTTAATAGTCTGAGGAAGATAGATTTTAGTTCTTCCTTGAATATTTGATAAAACTCCCCTGTGAAGCAGTCTGGCCCCAGGCTTTTGTTTGTTGGAAGCTTTTTGATGACTGCTTCAATTTGTTCCATGGTTATCAGCCTATTGATATTTTTAGATTCTTCCTGGATGATTTTTGGAAGTTTGTATTTTTCTAGGAATATGCGATTTCCTCCAGGTTGTTTAGTTTGTTGGAATAGAGTTGTTCATAGCATTGTTTAATAATCCTTTGTATTTCTGTGGGGTCTGTTGTTATTTCTCCTCTTTTATTTCTGATTTGTTTTATTTGGGTCCTCTCTCTGTGCTTCTTGGTGAACCTGGCTAGAGGTTCATCAATCTTGTTTATTCTTTCAGCTCTTGGTTTTGTTAATCTTTTATGTTGTTTATTTTGGTCTGTATGTTGTTTTTCTCTGCTCTGATCTTTATTATTTCCTTCCTTCTGCTTATACTAGGAATTTCTTGTTGCTCTCTTTCTAACTCTTTCAGTTGTAGGATTAGGTAATTTATTACCATTGTTTCTTGTTTTTGCAATAGGTTTGTAGAGCTATGAACTTCCCTCTCAAGACTGCTTTCTCTGTGTTCCATAGAATTTAAATTGCTGTGTTTTCATTGCCATTTGTTGTCATGATGTTTTGTTTCTTCTTTGATATCTGTGGAACCCAGTCATTGTTTAATAGCATGTTATTTAACCTTCAGGTGTTTGATTTTCTTGGATTTTTTTTAATTATAGTTAATTTCTAGTTTTATGCCACTGTGATCTGAGAAGATGCTTGATATAAATTCTATCTTCTTGAATTTGAAGAGACTTTGCCTGTGACCCAATATATGGTCTATCTTTGAAAATGACCCAGGCACACTTGAGAAGAATGTATATTCTGTGACTTTGGAGTAAAGTGTTGAGAAATTGTCAGTTAATTCCATCTGATCTAATGAGTCATTTATGATTGATGTTTCTTTGCTGATTTTTTGTTTAGAGGATTTGTCCAATGGTGATAGTTGGGTATTAAAGTCCCCTACTATGATTGTATTGCTGTCAATCTCTTTCTTGATATGCTCCAGAAGTTTTTTTTTTTTTGTTTGTTTGTTTTTTAATGTATTTTGGTGCTCCAGTGTTGGGTGCATTTAATTTTACCAGAGTTATTTTTTCTTGTTGGATTGCTCCATTTAGTATTATGAAATGCCCTTTTTATTTATCTTTTGTTATGTTCTTCACTTTGAGATTTAATTTGTCAGATATAAGTATTGCAACCCCAGCTTTTTTTATTTATTTATTTCCATTCATCTGAAAAACCTTTTTCCGTCCCTTCACCATCAGTCTGTGTGCGTCTTTTTTCCTGAGATGGGTTTCCTGTAGACAGCAGGTATATGGGTCATGTTTTTGTATCCCTCAGTTACCCTATGTCTTTTTATTGATCCATTTACATTTAAAGTTATTATTGATAGGTACATGTTTGTCACCATTTATAATATTTGCCCCTATGTTCCTTCTTCTCTTCCTACTTCTTCTTTTTACAGCAGACCCTTTAACATTTCTTGCATTGCTGGTTTGGTGATAATAAACTCCTTTAGTCCTTTTTTTGTCTTTGAAAATCCTGATTTCACCCTCAATTTTGATTGATAGCCTTGCTCAGTACAGTATTCTTGGATTCAGACCCTTCCTTTGCATGACTTTGTATATTTCTTTTTATTCCCTTCTGGCCTGATGTGTTTCTGTTGAGAAATCAGTTGCTAGTCTAATAGGGTAACTTCCTGTCTCTCTCTAGCTACTTTTAATATTCTTACTTTGTCGTTGGTGTTTGCCAACTTAATTATAATGTTCCTTGGTGTCAGTATTTTGGGGTTCATTTTGTTTAGGATTCTGTGAGCTTCTTGGATTTGTGTGAGTTTTTTCTTCCCTATATCAGGGAAGTTTTCTGTCATTATTTCTTCAAACAGGTTTTCTATTCCTTACTCAGTTTCATATTCTTCTGGCATCCCTATTATGTGGCTGTTGTTTCATTTGGTGTTGTCCCAAAGTTTCGTTAGACTTCTCCCATTTTTTATGTTTTGCTTTGTTTTCTGGATGCTGCATTCCTTGGATATTTT